GAGAGGGAGCGGAGGGGGACGGAGGGAGGGAAGGAGAGGGGAGGCCCCATTCCCCGCGCGGTCGCCCCCAAAACGCCCTCGCTGCATAGCTTCCGAGTAGCTTGACGAGTACAAAACTACTCCCTGGAGTAAAACAAACGTGTTTTGGGGGAGAAGCGGGGGAGAGAGCGCTTCGCTAACCGGATGCTGCCTGTACAGCGCTAGCAAAATGCAAATCGTTGCAAAACATCCCAGCTCCCCTCCCCCCCCCCATGAAAATAGTTGTGATTTTTGAGACTGAAACAGGTAAAACTTAAACACATAACTTCTTACAGGCTCACATCCACACTTACTAATATGATCCTCACATTTAATCTGTGGTTCCAGAAAAACCTCACGATTCTCTCATTAGTAGCACATACAACGTATTTGCGAGTAAGACTGAGAATTGTGCGGTTCACGTTACAAACATACCCTTTAGTCTAATTCACGCCTTCGGTGCAGACTGAGGTACTCACCGCAGCTCACAATACCCCTTGCTCAGCGGCTCTGGACACTGAAGTCCATGGAGAGGAGGAGTGTCAGGGCACAAATTTGGTCACACACGTGAACAGTGTCGTCCCCCGTCCCCGTGCGGTAACCTCGTTCCCCTTGCCCTCTACCTTTGCCCGAGCTGTCTCGCCGTGTTCCCTTTCCAAGCGGTCGGATCTCCACCACCATGTTTCGTATCAGGATATTTCTACAAAAAATCTTGATTCTTTTGCATGTTACCATGTGTGTCGCTGTTGGTAAAACGCTGCTGATACTGTTCCCCAGAACTATGAAAAGATACATCCTAAAGCAGGGTGAAAAGAGCAGGATGAATGAGAATCCAAAGTTCAGCTACGAAAACTGGGGTCCAACTTTTTTCAGCTTCAACTATTTACTCTTTGTGCTGAAAGTGAAGTGGAAAAGGCTGGAGGATGAAGCATATGAGGGACACCCTGCTCCCAACACCCCGGTGGTGACTTTCAACGGGGAAGTTCGTCACCTCTTTGACTTCATGCAAGGTCAGTAAATCAGCCATGTAGATGGGTTTGGTTTGCTAAAATGGTAAACGAGAGCAACGTACTACTAAGGGAACAGGGACAAGTGCCTGGCATAAAGATTCAGGACTGGAGACTGTGCCAGACTGTGCCAAGGCAGAGATGTCTTGGTTTTCTTAAATAACCTGTGTTTATCTTCCTGGCTACAATGCAACTTCAAGGCAGTAAGCTTATGAACCTCCTGTAAAAACTGGCTCTGCCAGGAAATGCCTCTTTACTGAAAGCCAAAATAATAATGTTACAGGGAAAGGAGACACAGAATCAGACCCACGTGCAGCATTTCACAAACGCTGGCTATCATTCTGTCTACATACAGAAAGTCCCCGCACTGCCTCCTTAAGCTAACCTAAAGCCCAGAAGGCACCCAGTGTATTTCCAGATTCAATGTAGAATCAGAAATTAAGCAGAGGCTGCTTTGCACTTTGCCCACTCCCCCCACCGAGATCTCTGTAGAACGCAGAATTAATCATTAAACTGCAGTCTCTCACCCCCATGGGAGGGATTAAAGCCTTCTCTAGGTCTACTTTTCCAATTTAAAAAAATTACATAGAAAAATGTATTGATAGATATACATATCTATCTATTTATATCTATAAAATCAGGTTGCCAATTTGAAAAGAGAGAAATATTATTTCACAGGAGGGAATCCCCTTCATTAGAGTCTTAGGATGTGAGAGGCTATACTAGCACCAGTTTTTGAAGTTAAGCCCAGCCAGAAGGAAGATCTTGAACAAACTTCAGATAATTTTACATGACTGTAGACTAAAATAGGTGCTTAGAAATCCTGAAAGTCCTCTTAAGTTTAAGAGGACTTTAACAGAAGTCCTCTTTACAGGACTGTAAAGCTCTCTGTAAACAGAGAGCTTTAAACAGAAGCTTGTAGCTAACACCTGTGGGCATTTATTGTGTTAATCTGTAAGCAACGCCACAGATATTTTTGCCAGTGGCTTGTGTAACATTAACTTAATACATAATAATATTTAACAGGAGTTCTGTTTGGGCAGGAAATTGCAAAAATACATTGAAAACACGAAAGCCTGTGATGCATGACTGAAAAGTCCGCAGCTTCCACTCAACACAGCTAGAACAGCAGCTAGACTTGACACTTCTTAAAAACCAAGATATGTCCAATAGGTTAAGCAGAATTAAGAAGCTGTGCTTAGATGCCCAGCTCTTCCCAACGTTGTCGTTTGGAAAAAAAAACTTAACAGATTATCATATTTAGTATTTTTAAAGTTCCTTCATCTTAAGGATCTCAGGGAGGCTGAGATGTGCTACACATGCTCTCCCTAAACGTTTCTAACTTCAGAACTGGATCTTGCAATGAGGATGCGAGAAGATGTGTGTTTGTATGGAGCTTTCTCCTTTAATTGTCTTTACATAGGAAAGGGTCCTCCTTTGTTAAGCTCACTACAAGACTGGATACTGAACAGGTCAGAGCCGAGCCAGGAAAAAGAAAGCCTCCTTTACACTTGTTTTGCATAGAAACCTGGTGATACAGATGTTTTGTTACCTTGATAATCAGAGTATCTCAACTTCCTAGGAAGAAAGTTAGGGGATAAGTGACTTACCAATTGCCCCCTAGGAAGCTTGTGGCAGAGGCTCAATTCTGTTTTTAATTTAATGCAGTCCTTTCTCCCACCACTGATTTAACCACATATTCAGTGTCCCATGTTTTTCTTCCTCCAGATAACCGACCGTTAATCCTGAATTTTGGAAGCTGCACCTGACCTTCATTTATGTTAAAATTTGATGAGTTCAACCAGCTCATCAAAGATTTCAGCTCTATAGCAGATTTCCTTATCATCTACATCGAAGAAGCTCATGCAGTAGGTACAGTATAAACATCAATTTTAATGCTTATCACAGCCTTAGACATGCATCATTCCCGTCAGGGAAAAAAAAATAGCAAAGGAAGAAACTGCAAACAAAAGGAAGTCTTGCTGAAATCAGAAGCGGCAATGGCATATTCAGGAAACAATTTGGGTCCCTCATTCTGTAAACGTTTTACTTACACACCTGATATCTGACTTTACAGTGAGGTACTC